GACGCGTGCAGGCTTGTCTTCAAATGCAAGCTGGTCATTTCGAGCATCTTTTGTAAAAATAATTAAAACAGAAAATTCATTACATCTCGAAGACAGATAGGACATATATTTATATGACGTGGCGTACAATCAGCACCCGAAGTGGGTCTCACAAATTATGAAACACCCTGTATAAAGGACGAATCCAACGCGTCAGAGTAATAGCAAGTTTTCTAAAATCAGGTCCACGTAACGTAAGTGTCTTTCGGCCTGTGCAAACAATTAGTGTTTGGACTATTGTCCTCTTTGTATGTATTTGTATATTGGTATTGAAATAAAAGACTCTAAAAGCCATAAAAACATCGATCTCGGAAACGCGAACGATAGGAAAAATAGAATTTGTTACCATTACGATCGAAAAGACATACCAATCAAAAAAAAAAAAAACATGATACAAATTAATAGAAAAAAAAACACATATCACCTCTCTATACAATACGAAAACAATATGAAAGTTAATAAAAGCACGAGCATGCGAGACAGGGTATTCGTTTCACTCGTTTCACCGCCTTTATCGCGTTTGAATCCTATGAAAATAAACATTCGCAGTCCGTCAATTCAGCGTTCTGTTATAAATTCGTCGTCATCAACGTAAATCTTCGCGTTATTACTTCCACTCTAGTCTCTCTCCAATTTCCGATATTACGCGAAACAAGAATAAGAATTCGTTTTCGTGTAATACCGCAATAGGAAAGTTCCAAGCGAGTCTGTATAAAAAGAGAGAGAGAGAGAGAGAAAAAGAGAGAAGAAAAATTTGCCAAGCTTTTACGCGCAATATCCGCGTGTCAACGATTCCCGGAGGTTTCGGCCCCCGGGAGGATCACGGGACCGGAATCCTCGCTTTAAACTTCTTCCCTTGCCTTGCTTCTTATTCCCTCCGTGACAACAAACCGTGGATCACCGCGGAGAGAGTTAACGCGTATTCCTTCAAACGGAATAAATGTTCCTCGTTCGCCTCTGTGTCTGTTTCACCATCTCGAGTCTCTGGCCGCCGCTGCCCGCTCTTCTGGTTGCGCGGCCGGTTCCGTTCATCAACCGTAAACCGTTTCACCAGCGAATATTTAGACACGGCTGTCGATCGGAGCTCCGCCGATACCGGTTACGACAATTTCAATCCGCCTGCCTGCGCTGCCGCCTGCTATCGGTTATTTAAAACAAGGACCGGGAGGTAATAAATACAAGGGAGAGAGGGGAGGGGGGGAGGGAGGGAGAGAAAAAAAAAATGGAATATCGATGGGAAGAAGAAGCGACGCGACCCAGCCCAGACTCGAGTCGTTATTGTTAAACGATAAAACACAGGGACAACTTCTATCGAAATCCCATTTAACGCGGCATCTGAAACGTTTCGAGAATAATAAAGCAATTACACGTATAATGTACCTTTGCATTTTTGCCACGAGCATCCCCTACCCCGTCCGTGTCCGGGGATGTTTCGTTGTTTTTTCTTTTTCTCTCTTTCTTTCTTTCCCTCTCTCTGCCGTGTTGCTCGTGTTTTATGCATTTTTCTTTGTCCCGTACATTTTGCCTCCCTCTGCTTCTCCCCCTCCCCCTTCCTTTCCCACCTTGATTTTTAATAAAATTCGGTTCGAACCAGGGCCACATCGAACCGTTCGCCCACACAAATACCGGCCGGTGTATCAGAATTTTTATTCGAGCACGGTTGCCTTCTGCTTGCTCCGCGTGCCCGCCCGATAAAGCGACTCTATCGTCGAAATAAACACCGATGAACCCAGCGCGATGTTTCGGAGGTGTTTCGCCCCGTTCCGAAAATTTGTTGGAAGATCGAGATAGGAAACAACGAAGTGGCGAAGAAACGAAGAAGGGACGAAGGGAGAACTCGTACGTACGACACTTTGGGAGGACAAGGATTCGACACTTGCACGAGAGAACGAGAAAATTTGTGCAAACTGTTGCCAAAGGACGAGTAAATATTGAGAGCGAGCGGTGTCGATTAGAGTGAAACTTCGTTCGACTGAATCTCTTGGCAGGTAGAATAGTTCGTATAATAGAAATTCGCTTTATGATTTTTCATTGAAACAACAAGAGTGTGCATTCAGACTCGATCTAACTAAAATTTCGTTCCAATAAACGAAATCTTAGATGAAAAGATGTATCTTTTGAATTTCTAGATTCAATGCTCTTTGAAATTCGCGGTATAAAAGGATTATTTCGACATACTTGATCACATTCTCGAACCGCTTCACAACACACAATATAGTTGAAAAATTCCTGGAAGCAAAATTCTTGAATTTTTAGACTCAACGCTCTTTGAAGTTCGCAGTGCGAAAGATTTCTATGTTAAATATACAGTTTTTTACAATGAAGAATTAGTTGTACAGTTTTTCGCGAGTTAAACCGCTTTGCAGACACAGTACAGCTAAAAAATTCCTGAAACATTCGCGTAACAGGGCCGCGGAACAAGCGAAATTCTCGAGTTTTTCGGTTCAACAGTCTTTGAAGCACGCGATACAAAAGGTTTCTGCATCAGAGACACAGTTTAATGAAGAATTACTTCAACGTATTTACTCGCGTATCCGCGAGTTAAACCGCTTTGCGAATACGGTGCAGCTAAAAGATTCCCCGGAACGCGTGCAACAACCTCGCGAAACAAGCTTACAGAGTCCATCAATCAGATTAAACTTAATCGCCAGAGGTCCATCGACCACCCAGATACTTCAATTACAGCTTCCTCCTACGTGGCCCCTCCTCCGCACTACTAATTAACCAATAAACCCATTATTAAACACTGAAACGAGCAAATCAGATTACCGTCGTATATAATACCATCGACTATGTGTATCCATCTTCGTGCCGCTATTACTCGCGTATTGCCAAACGTTTTCTTCGCCACTCTTCGGTTGGTAATTAAAGTTGCCGCACGAACGTTTCCGAGCAACAGTTTCACAACAATCTCGCGGAGGGTGGGGAGGTAGGAGGGGAGAGACGTCGTAATTTTCGGACGAGCATATCGGGCTCGCTATCATCGACAGTTTACGGTCACGTGTGTTCGCGTGTGTCACGGCAGAAAATTGCAGTTTTACTAATGAATGAATGCCGGATAATTCAGCGTAGTAATCGGTCCGATAATTGGCAACCGCCCATTAACGACGGCCCGGCAATTTGCCGAGCTAACGAACTGTCATAACGAACAGCGACGTGGCTCTTTTGTTCTTGGCCGGCAATTGCCGCGCCAGCCAATTTGCCGGGGGCCCCGTATGCTTTCGAAACGCGAAAGTATCCACCTCCGTCGGAGGAGGGGCCGGAGAAAGGGAGATTTTAAAGGTATCGATCGATTGGCTTAACCGTCCACCCCGCTGAAAAAGAAAAAAAAAAAAAAAGAAAAGAAAAGAAAAAAAAGGAAGAAGAAGAAAAAAAAAAGAACAACTCGCTGCAATTAGGAGCGTTAGTTTGGAAGTTCGTGTCCTGTGCGACGATCGGTCAAGCACGCTCCGTCCACTAAGATTATCGTCCTTCCCTGTGGTCTCTACTAGTTGGCTAGCTGAAGTGGAATAATTGCTTTCACCCCTTGGAGTTTGCTCGAGGCCGTAGGGGATGATTGGCGATCGGCAGTAGCGGGGGAAATAGGGAAATTGCTTTGGTTCTGCTAGTTGCGTTGTTGTGCCGATAGAAAAATTCGAGCGTTTGATATTCGGTGGATAATATTTTAATATTTAACGCTGGAATGACGAGCCCGCGCGCGTCGAGAATTTTTTCTCCCAATATTGCAATGTTTCCTCAGTTTTAAGGCAAAACAAATAATAAATTTGTCAAATTACTTCTCAATAATTTCTATCCGACGTGATATCATACCGACGAGTTCAGAAAGAAAGCGACAAATTGTTGTATACGGTTCGGTCACTCGTTATGGTCCGCAGTCAGTTGCCAGCGCAAGTGGTCAACCTTATTTCAATTAGGGGTCGTTAACGTTTCGAACAGGCCTTCTTTCGTATTTTTTTAACGATAGAAAAATGATTCAGAGAACAGATGAATCAAAACGATAGAAAAATTGCTTGTCTCTGCGTTACGCTGATACAAAATTTTGAGTATTTAATATTTGGTAGATATATTTTGGTAAGCTTGTTTCAATTGGGGAAAAAGTCCTTAATGTTTCCAATAAATCTTAAAGTTTCTTAAAGATAGAAAAATGATCCAGAGTCGATTCGACGATAGTACCCGATGATCCTCAAGCAGAAATGTTTTACGAAGTAGTACACTATACGCTAGTGCTAGTGGTACACTTGGATTCTTACGTTTTTTTTTTTTTTTTTTTTTTTTTATGAAACCGACGGCAATCTTAAGCGTTTGACTGGCCGCGCGAATTTAACGAGTCGACGAC